GAACTCCCGCGCCGTGCTGTGAGCTTGACGGAAGGACGGACCTAACCCCCCCTCCCACTCTGGTCAACCTGGTGAGCACTGGTCAGAAAGCCCCAGCTGAGAGACAACACATCTGTGAACACATCGAGCGAGGGCTCAGGTAGGCGCCACAGCACTGAACCCCGAAAAGCCCAAAGAGAAAGCCGGTGATGCAACAGCCAACGCAAGGCTCCCCGGGTTCCAAATCCAGCAATCGTGAGAGCAGTAGAAGGGATGTCCCTGAAGGATCCAGAACAGCCGCCGAAACAAGATCCGACCTGACGGATAGATCAGCATGGCAAAGTTCGAACTCCCGCACAGCTGCTCGAACAACCAACGAGTGACCCAGGTGCCCTCCAAAAACAGCCAAAGGTGGGATTGCAGCCGCAGCAACGCTGCTGGAGGGGGAGACAAGGAAGCAGTCCGAGAGTCCCACACAAGACCCAGCTAAGTCCAAACCTGAGAGGAAACCAAATGGGACTTCCTCCACTTCACCAAGAACTCGAACCCGGCGAGCTGGGAAAGAACCAAATCCCTGGCAAGCAGACACGGGGACCTGCTGAAGGCCCAGACCAGCCAGTCGTCGAGGTAAGTCAGAATCTGAACCACTAACAGATGCAAAAGGTCACCACAAAACAGGTGAGGTTTTGTGAAAATGTGAGGTGCCAGATTCACACTGAATGGAAGGCACCGAAAGCGGTAAGCTCACCACCACACGACAAAACCGAGCCAGTCCCTGAACCCTGGATGAATTAGGACATACCAATACGCATCCCAGAGGTAAAGGGAAAACATCCAAGTGTCCGGCTCCAAAAGCAGTCGGACCTTTGACAGAGAAGTCATTCAAAAGGAGGGGCAAAAACCCAGTGGTTCAGACAGAACAGTTCAGAATAAACCTCAAATCTGCATATTCCCATTTCAGAACCGGAAGCAGGCGGGAAACCCACCTGATGGACACTGTCGTTTCGGCCAAGCCAAGCGTACCCACTCTAGGATGACCTGACAGAGCACTGGGGAAGAGGCTTGCCCCACCAGACCCAAACCCCATAGGAGGAGGAGCCACCCAACACTTCCACAGGCAGGAGGAAATGACCCAAAACGCCCAGAAATCGTGAGACTAGGAATGAGCAAACAGCGCGAACCTCCCCCCCCCCCCCCATCGCCCTGTCAATGGGGTGAACCGCGAAAGGGCCAATTACCCTTATGAGAGCCCCAACCAATACTCAAGAGTAATCACTGCGCCGACTAGATGTCGACGGCTCCACAGGAGGGATATCGAACCCATATCCAACTCGTACAGGGAGGTTGGATAGGAAAACCCCTCCCCTTGTAACAACAAGCCCTGTGCCGAGGGTACCAACTCCCAAGAGGGGTCAAATGGAGCCCAAGCTCCCCAAGTCAACTCCTCCTCAACCCCGGGATCCTCCACAGCAGGACCTGAGGCCAAGCCATCCTCCAAACCCTCTGGCTCTGGAGAAAAGACAGAGGCCTCCAGAAAAGCAGGGAAGAAGGGAGGGGGGGGGGCCACTGGCTCGACCCAAAAACCCCAGCAAGAGGAACAGGCATGAATACCTCTGCCGTCGACCCAGAAGGGGCAGTCCCCGGGGCTGCCCGAGTTTCACCACCATGACAGCCCTGCCCCGACTACAAAACCCCTCAGACATTTGGGAGCCCAGGAGGAGCAGGGGAAGAGAGGGGGAGCAGGATGAACCACAACAGAGGAAGAACAAGAAGGCATGGTCAAAACCAAAGTCGAGGCGACTAGCACCCCCAAGTCCGGGTTCCTATAACCAAAGCGAGGCGGCTAAGGGGGGCCACCCGTAAAGGCAACCAGCCTAGTGCGTTGCAGCAACCTAAACCGCGCATGCAACACTGAAGCTGCCTGCACTCGAATATCAATATCAGTAGACTGGGTGAATTGGAGTACAAGCAAGGAACACCACTTGCAGGATTCTGGGTCAAAGGTGTCATCGACCTAATAGGCAGCATGGAAGAGGCAAAGCTGTTGAGTGTCTCCCTGAGACAAGGGGACAGAGCAACCTTCAAACTCGCACGAAGCGAGATGGGACCCAGAGGACACATTCATTGGATCAATGAACAGAGGTTCATTGATCAACAATGATCAATGATCATTGTTGATCAACAATGATCAATGTCCCAACAGAGGTTACCAGGGCACTTAGGCCGACTGCTAAGGGAAGACCAGGCAAGGTACTGCTAACCGATTATCCCAGAACTACCAAACAAAGAAAATGCTAAACCTGAGACATGTGCAATCATGGGGACCTAGCGGAGGGTCACCAAAATCATACAAGTGGTCCTACAGCCACACCAGGCAGACCCCCACTGGGCAAAACAAAACAAAAGAAAAGAAACACACCACAAAAGCACAACATTTCCAGGAGGAACAGAACTAGCTGCTATGCATAATATAAGACAGCAGCCCAATACCATGCGAGTGATGATGCTACCTTCTACCCAAGGCAAAACAGGGGTAGGAAAAAATCCCAGCTGACCCCAAGGGCGGGCAATCACCAAGCAGCAAAAAAAACCTGCGGAGATAGCCCCAAACAATTTGTGGAAGATAACCCCAAACTGTAAGGGCAGTACTTACAAGGCACCTAGGGAAGGGAACCCTAAGATCATGCAGTCCCAATACTTCTGGGGGTAACACCTGACTCACACATGACAACACCAAAGCACACCATCACAAGGCGCAGCACTGCTCAAGGATTGGAGTCAGAGTTGATCGACCGCTACCCAACACAACAGCCTCAGAACTGGGGTTGGGTAGCCGGCACGGGAGGTCTGGGACCCCACTTTCCCCCCTCTTGGAGAGGGGGGAGTTACGCAGACAGCGGCACAGTGGCTGTGGTTACGTCATGCTTGTTTGCTTGTTTTCTGATTGGGGAGTTCTACTTGCTCGTTCAGCTTTCGGTTAGCAATTTTTCACCAGCTGTAGTTTGTTTTGGGATTCCTACCTTTCTGGGTGCCTGACTTGGTAGATGGCAGATATAGACTGCCTCCAACTACATGAGGGTATCTATAAGCCATTGCTCCTCATGCCTCTCTGAGGAGGGGCCAGGTTCTGGCTCTGGTCTCATGTAGGCAATAGAACTTCACAGCTGATGTGACCAAGGGACCTGATAGCTGAGTGGACAGCGCTTCGGATTCTTAGTCCTGATGTTCCGGGTTCGATCTCCGGTGAAGGTGGAAACAAATGGGCACAGTTTCTTTCGCTGTGATTACCTAGCAGTAAATAGGTACCTGGGAGTTAGACAGCTGCTACGGGCTGCTTCCTGGGGGTGTTTAACAAAAATGAGGCCTGGTTGAGGACCGGGCCGCGGGGAATGCTAAGCCCCGAAATCATCTCAAGATAACCTCAAGAAGATAGTAAATAGTAGTACACTATCAATGATAGTAGCTTCAGAGAGTCACCAGGGTACAACCAGAAATAGATGTTTCAATACATTCAATGCTGGCGTAAACACAAAAACGTTTATAATCTTTTCACGCTCCTAACATCAATTCTCGAGCTACGTTTTTCATTTTGGTATCAATGCGTTGGCAATAAAATTCTCTACAAGATCATATGCATAAAATGTCACCCAAGCATTTGCTATCCTACCACGAAGTAAATAAACACGAAGATGACTCGCCGTGACACCCAAACAGGAAGTAAATGTTCATACTCTTTCGTTTGTTGCCAGCCTCACAGTCATCCTACAGCACTTATTTTGATATCACTGAACTCGCAATAAAATTCCCCACCCAGACATATGCCTATCAATGTCTAATTATGTTCCGCACGAGTGTGGGAACTGGGCGAAGCGTTAGCCGTGATTTCAGCAGCAACGACACTGTTGTGATGCAGCGCTTTGAAAGTTTATACTTATTTCACTGTCATGACATTATTTTTCGAGCTACGTATTTCCTTTTTATAGCAATTTGTTTGCAATAGAAAGTTCTATAAGAACATGGGTAGAATTGGCCAACAGAGCATCAAATAAATTTGCGGCGAATAAAATCTTATGCGAATCTTACGCGTGTTTGTACCCGTGAGCGTAAAAAGTTTTTACTTTGCTCATGTTTTTTCAAGTTTATACTTGATTCACTCCGTTTTTTTTGTTTGTATAGTGTTCGGAATAAAATTCTCTACACAGACATATGCATATAAATGTAGAATCATGATCGCGGCCAACACAAGAGTGTGTGGAGTGCGCGATTACCCTCGTTGTGTCACCAATTCAATAGTCTCTCCTCTAAGTTACAATACATTGCCGTTTTCTCAAATAGGCACAGTGCCTATTAGAGAAAACAAAAATTTAATGGCAAACATATTCATACAAACCCCAAGTCGATCGAGTACTAAATACCCAATATAACACGGTCCGTAAATTTACGTCGTGATCCGACAAGCGGTTAAGCAAACCGCCCGTAATTCCAAGTCGAAAATCCAGGAAAGTGTTAATTAATTAATAATATCTTGAACAAGTAACACAAGTAATTTTAATCTAACTGCCATTATTAAATGGTAGTCTATAAACTCTCAATACAGGCAGGGTCCAACATACAAACAGGAAACATTCCTAAAAAGTTTTGCAAATTGGCAGTTCATACTCAAACTATATAAACAAAATTATACATAAACTATTTTTTGGGAAAATACATAACACATCTTACTTACTGTATCTAGAATGATGGATGTTGCTCTCCTTTATCTTATTTTATGCTTTTTAAAGAGTAAAGAGGCCAATATGGCCAATTTGGAGGCAGTTCTTAAAAATTTAATGTTTGTAAGTCGGTGATCTTTTATGCAGCCATTTAAATACAGCATACTGTACTAGTTTTGTTTTACTTACAACTTTACCCAGCATGGTGTTCAATAATGTGTTCTTTATTCAGAGACAAAGAACTTCTCTGCATAAAATAACAAGTCAATATTAATCTTTAACTATACGAAAAAATAAATATATAATTACAAGTTCTCAGACTGTTGTTCCTGCTTCTCCTGCTTGACTCTCTTGTTCAGCATGGATGTTCGAGAGTCTCTGTGAACATATTTCCTCTTACCCTTACACTCATACGTCCAATGACCAAGTTCCAGGCACTTCTGGCATCGTACACTTTCTGTTGATAGTTTCCTAAAAATAAAAAAAAGCAAGCATTAAATATAATGAGATGCCAATTTCTGGGTTAGCCCTAGTGGCTTCCTGAAGCTACCATCTCCGATATACAGTATACACTCGATTTATTGACCTAAGTTGGGCTGTACCTGTTGTAATCCACAAGTTAGGAAGGAATATTAGCTAGTGAATCAAGCACTACAACACTTAACAAATACATGTTAAGTATTCAGACTGTGGTCACAGATCGAGGTAAGGTCAAGGGATTAACACAGCAGCTGCTTGCCCAAACAAATGTAGTAGCCAAGAGGATAAAGGGTGACTTCAAGTTTCTAGGAACAAGGTGACCTACAGTTAATCAGATTACATACCCTCCTTGGGAGGCAGGGTGTAATGGTTGAAGCTATGGCTGGCTAAGGATAGTCTGTTGGGAGGAGTGGTTCAGGCAAGTCCTCCACATCTCTCTCCGTGGCAGCAACGAAGTAGAACTGACAATATGTGGGAACTCGATGTGATCTTGTTACCTTACCTTGAGGTTACCTTGAGGTGCTTCCGGGGCTTAGCGTCCCCGCAGCCCGGTCGTCGACCAGGCCTCCTGGTTGCTGGACTGATCAACCGGGCTGTTGGACGCGGCTGCTCGCAGCCTGACGTATGAGTCACAGCCAGGTTGATCAGGTATCCTTTGGAGGTGCTTATCCAGTTCTCTCTTGAACACTGTGAGGGGTCGGCCAGTTATGCCCCTTATGTGTAGTGGAAGCGTGTTGAACAGTTTCGGGCCTCTGATGTTGATAGAGTTCTCTCTCAGAGTACCTGTTGCACCTCTGCTTTTCAACGGGGGTATTCTGCACATCCTGCCATGTCCTCTGGTCTCATGTGATGTTATTTCTGTGTGCAGGTTTGGGACCAGCCCCTCAATTATTTTCCACGTGTAAATTATTATGTATATCTCCCGCCTGCGCTCAAGGGAGTACAAATATAGGCTCTTTAGTCGGTCCCAGTAATTTAGATGTTTTACTGAGTGGATTCTAGCAGTACAGGCTCTCTGCATGCTCTACAGGTCAGGAATTTCTCCAGCTTTGAAAGGGGCTGTCATTGTGCAGCAGTACTCCACTCTAGAGAGCACAAGCGTTTTGAAAAGTATCATCATCAGTATAGCATCTCTAATTTGAAAGGTTCTTGTTATCCAACCTGTCATTTTCTTGCAGTTGTGATGGCTACTTTATTGTGTTCTTTAAAGGTAAGGTCTTCCAGCATGAGTACACCCAGATCCTTTACATTGCCTTTTCGTTCTATGTTATGATTTGCCTGAGTTTTGTACGTGGTTTCCGTTTTTATATTTTCATTTTTTCCGTAGCGCATGAGCTGGAACTTATCTTCGTTAAACACCATATTATTTTCTGTAGCCCATAGAAAGACCTGATCTACATCTGATTGGAAGTTTGCCGTGTCCTCTATGTTGCCTACTCTCATGAAGATCCTAGTGTCATCTGCAAAGGATGATACAGTGTTATAGGTTGTGTTCTTGTCTATGTCCGATATGAGGATGAGAAAAAGTACTGGAGCAAGCCCAGTACCCTGAGGGACTGAACTCTTCACAATTGATGGGCTGGATTTTATTTTGTTGACTATTACACTTTGGGTTCTGTTAGTCAGGAAATTGTAGATCCATCTGCCTATTTTTCCAGTAATTCCTTTTGAAAGCATTTTATGTGCAATAACACCATGGTCACATTTATCAAAAGCTTTTGCGAAATCTGTGTAAAATACATCACGTTTTGTTTGTCTTCCAAAGCATCTAATGCCATATCACAGTGGTCCAGCAACTGCGACAGGCAAGAGCGCCCAGTTCTGAAACCATGTTGTCCGGGGTTATGGAGATGCTGTGATTCCATGTATTTTGTGATCTTACTTCTTAGCACTCTCAAAAATTTTTATGATGTGCGATGTTAGTGCTATCGGTCTGTAATTTTTTGCCTCTGCCTTATTTCCTCCTTTATGGAGTGGTGCCATCTCTGCTGTTTTTAGTATGTCAGGAATAACGCCAGTATCTAGGCTTCGTCTCCACAGAATGTGAAGGGCCTGCGATAGTGGTTTTTTACAGTTCTAGATGAATATAGAGTTCCAAGAATCCGGGCCTGGTGCAGAGTGCATAGGCATACTGTTTATGGCTTCTTCAAAATCCAGTGGGGTTAGGGTGACGTCTGATATATGATTTGATGTTGGTATCATATCCATGAAAAATTAATTTGGGTTATCAATCTTTAGTGTGCTTAGTGGCTCGCTGAAAACAGAGTCGTACTGCTTCCTCAATAACTCGCTCATTTCTTTGTTGTCATCGGTGAAAGTTCCATCTCCCTTTCACAGGGGCCCGATACTAGATGTGGTTTTTGATCTTGATTTTGCATAGGAGAAAAAATATTTCGGATTTCTCTCTATTTCACTGATGGCCTCTTTTTTTCTTAGGGGTATGCGGTTTGAACATATTTCTAGTGCTACTGAGCTTATTTTTTCCAGGCACTGGTTCAAGTTTGCATTTTCTAGCTGTTCTTCCCAGTTTATTTCTGTGAAGTCCTGGTTTATTTGCTCCCAGTTTATCTGTTTATTATTGAAGTTGAATTTGCTGAAATCTCCTCCACCGGGAATATGGACTGGTTTTGAAGGTCTATCCCCCATGGTTGTCAGAACTTCAATTAAGTTGTGATCTGAGTAACAGGTATTTGTAATCATTATGTTCCCGATCAATTCATCATTATTAGTGAAAATGAGGTCCAGCATGTTCTCCTTCCTAGTTGGTTCTACTATTTGCTGGTTTAAGGCAAACCTGTCGCACATCCGTAGCAGGTCAGTTGCACGTGCCTGTTCATTTAGGCTACTTCCTGGTACTCTTTCTGATATTACTGTATTAGCCAGGTGCTTCCATTTCAGGTGCCGTAGGTTGAAGTCCCCAAGCAGGATGATGTTTGGAGCTGGATTTGTGAGGTTTTCCAAGCAGTGTTTTATTTTCATTAGTTGGTCTTTAAACTGCTGAGGGTTTGCCTCCGGTGACTTATATACAAGGACAATAACTACATTTAGGATCTCTATTTTGATTATCAGCACTTCCACCATATCATTTGAGGTGTTTAGCAGCTCAGTACAGATGAGTGTGTCTTTGATGTAGAGGCTGACCCCATCCTGAAGCCGGTGTTTCCTATCACATCTGAAAAGATTGTACTCTGAGATCCATATCTCACCATCATGGTAGTCCTTTGTGTGAGTTTCCGTTAGGGCTGCAAACACTGCATTCGCCTCATGAAGGAGACCATCTATAAAGTGAACTTTGTTGGATTTGCGTGTTTATATACCCTGGATGTTGGCAAATATAAATGATGTTATCGTGTTAGTGGAAGTGCTGGATGCTTTACTTGGTGTTAATATCTGAGGCTCTGGTAAGGAGGCCACTCTGTTTGCATCCTCTCTAGCATTTGACCGAGTTGGTGGTAGAGTCTGGTCATTTTTAGCCATTCTTCTCCTCCTCTTGCTAAAAAATTATCCCGGTCGATGGAGTAGTGGCTGTTTTCATAGTGGTGGTCTGTCGGTTTTATTCGCCTGGTACCCCTTATATGAAAAGCTGGACATTCAGCATTGAAGCACTCTTTCCTGTCCAAAGAGTTCTTGCAAATTTCTGGGTGAAAGAATTCACAGCTTTTGGTACATCTACCTGTATTGAGGAGGTTTCTGCACTTTCTAGGGTGATCATCACCCATTTCTAATACCAATAGATTTTAGGGCCTTGTTTTGTTTGTTTCCCTTTGCCAAGGACCGCACTCTGCTGCGGCATCCCCGACACTGTGCTCTGCTCCGGGGCCATCAACACCACGCTCTGCTCCGGTGCCCGCGACACCGCACTTTGCTCCGGCGGCATTGACACCGCGCTCTGCTCAGGCGTCCCCGACTCCGCGCTTTGCTCAGGCGTCCCCGACTCTGCACTCTGCTCAGGCATCCCCGACTCCGCACTCTTGCTCAGGCGTCCCCGGCTCCCCACTCTGCTCAGGCGTCCCCGACTCCCCGCTCTGCTCAGGCGCCGCTGCCACCGAGCTCTGTGCCGCATCTGGTTGTACCTTGGTGTCATGTACAGTTTGTTTGAAGACATTAGAAATTGCTATGCAGGCATTTATTAGTGATTCTCTGTTTTCGGCTGGAGTTTTATCCAGGATTTCCATCATCTTCAAAAAAGTTACATCATCCTTTTTGCAGAGCCAGTACACAGAGTGGTCACTTGGACCATTTCTCCTTGAATTATTAGTCATGTTGGCACATTTTTTGTGTATGGCTGCTGAACAGAGTTGGCATTGAAAGCTCTGTTGGTAATCTACCTTCATATTGCATTCTATGCACGTTCTTATCAAAAACATTTTTGTTGAATGCTTCTGTTCAGTGGTGGTGGTCTTACAAGGTGGGGTGATGACCGTTGGGGGTTGACAGTGTGTGTTGACCGTGGGTGTTTACCAACTTGAGATAGGCCTGGAGGAGGCTGTATGGACTGGCAGTGTTGCTACCACGTGTCGCACTCTTAATTTGTTTTGTTCACTTCTTAGATTACATTACTTGCATTTTCCCACTAGTTATCTTACAGTAGAGACGTCTAGTTTCTGTGTCTGGGCACTAGTTACCTGAGTACGTTACACTATTTGGAAGAATACACACACAGTGGGTACTCGGGGTGGGCCTACCTCCAAATGGCCCTTGTTTACATACACACGACGGCCTTATTTTGGCTACCCCGGAAGGGGAACTCCCTGAAACCGCCCGAGTCTCAAGACCATCAAATCCTCCCCCCCCCCCCCCCCGACCCTGAACCCACAGACGGTGAGGATCCGGATGCAGGGAAGAAGGGGAAGGGGACCATACTAGACCACAACAGGGGAAAGACAAACGGGCGCGGACGGAAACAAAACCGAAGCGACCAACACCCCCAAGCCTCGGCACAACAACCAAAACAGGGCAGCCTCGGGGCTTCCGGGGAGCAAAGAACCTAG